TGTAACATTAATGCCCAAAGATCCCTCCTCGACTACCTGCAAGAAAGCAATCCGGGAGCCACATATCCATCACATATCTCAAGTATCCATTTCTAGTTATATAAGATCAGGATACAAGTATGAATGTCCATTACCGTGGACACGGTATTCGAATATATATCTTCCCTGCAAGGGTGCACCACGTTACCCAACACGCTCGATCACTCCGGCCGGACACACCTTTCTGGGGTCAATGCCCGGCCTCGGAAGATCAACACGTCGCAGCCCTACCTAGGCTCAGAAGATAGGTCCTCGTCGGTCTACATCCTAAGCACTCCGGGGTCTGGGCCCATCACCCGTTGCACTCCGGGTCGTTGTGTGCAGGGTGGATACCAGCACCACCCGTGTAGTGGATGGCACGATCCGACCATGCCACAATGCTAAAATGGACATCTGACAAAGCTTCGGCTGATACCACGACGTCGAGGCCCATAACTATTCTCGCATGGTGGTTAGTGCGTAAAGGCCAAAGGCCAACTTAGAACAAATACCCAAACATGTTAGTGCATTGGGGGCTCGCGGAGACGAGCAGCAACTCACGATAATGTGACCCCGTCGCCCCGTCTCATGGACTTACGGCAAGGGCCCAGACTGCCCGGCCGTGCCATGTAGAAAATTCGCAGGTGCTCCACGGGCCCGCCCGACTTTCACATCAACTCGCGAGTACCCCTCAGGGCCGACCCGACTTCAACAATGGTCTCAAGTAAAGTCAAGGTAATCGTGTGTCCAAAACATCAAGGAAGAAAACCCGAGGAATCACCCCCGGTGGATTCCACTCAATGTAATCATCAAGGTGAACATAAGAGGGACCACCCTCGAGGTTCACACTTGAGGTGTTGCACGACAGAGCCGTATCGGGAATGGTGAAAGAGGAAATCACCCTCGATGACCACGACCGAATAGCTACACTACAAAATAATCATCAGGAGTGCGTTATGAGGGATCACCCTCGGCACTCGATATTAGCTCTGTAGAGTCGAGCAACTAAAGGGCGTGATGTGATGTGAGGTGTCAGGCTCTGGTCCTCGATCATGTTGATCGAGTCATCGAAGATGAAGCTGGGGCAACAAGGACAAGGTGGGGGTCACTGATGGATCACTAACCAACCTATACTAAGCAGTTTAGGATAAGCAGGTAAGGTATAAAGAGCAGGTTACACAAGCAAGGTATGCATCAGAATAGGAGCAAACAATAACAGTAGCAAAATCTAATGCAAGCATGAGAGAATGGAATGGGCGATATCGGGATGATCAAAGGGGGGGCTTGCCTGGAAGCTCCGCTGAAAGGGAACTAGGGGTCGTCGGTGACGTAGTCGATCACGGGGACATCAACAACGGTCTCGGGGTCTACCGGATAGAAGAGGAGGAAGAAACAGTAAATACACGCAAACATATGCATAACAAGACAATAAGTGGGGCTAGAAGTGTTCTAACGCAGTGCTAGGCGTATTGGCGAAGGGGGAAACATCCGGAAAAGTTTTCCCGACTCCGGACGTCTGTTAGACAGATGAACCGGAGGGGAAAGTTCAACGTTTGCTATGCTAGTGACGTGTGGCGGGCGAACGGACTGCGTGTTCAGATTCATCTCGTCGTTCTGAGCAACTTTCATGTAGAAAACTTTTTCATCTGAGCTACGGTTTATTTACTATTATTTTTCAAAGTTTAAACAATATTCTGAAAAATATTATTAAATAAAAAGAAAATACTGCATCAGCATGACGTCAGCGGTCAACAGGATGTTGACTGGTCAAAATTGACATGGGGGACCCACTGTCATAGACACAGTTTTATTAAACAGACCTTAAATAACTAACCATGTGATTAGGGTAATTGAAAAGAGTTAATTAAGTTAAATAATTAATTAAATATTAACTAATTAGTTAATTAATTGATTATTTTTACTAATAAATTTATAAACCTTTTTTTACAGGGGCATGGGGCCCCAACGTCAGTGGCCCAGGGGGGTTAAGCGGGCGACGGGCAAGCGGGTTAACGGGCGAGCGCCAGTGCGAGGGCACGGGGCATCAGGGGCGCCGGCGAGGCCACGGCACCATCTGGGGCGGGGCGTGGCCAGGCCGAGGCGGCAACGGCCAGAGTTGGGAGCTGCGGGATGAAAGGCGAGCGTGGGGCGATAGGGGCGCGCGTGGGGCAGCAAGGCGAGCGGCGAGAGCGAAGCAGCAGGAGGCGGCCGAGGGCGCGGCCATGGGCGCAGGGAGTTAGCGCGGGGGAAGGAGGCGCGTGGGCACGGGCGGTCTCCGACGGGTGCGAGAGGACGACGCAAGGCAGTTGCGGGGATTGGCCGGCGCATCAGCGCGGCGTACGGCGAGGCGAGGCGGGACCGTGCGGTTGTTGGCGGCGGAGGTTCGCGCGCGGTCGGTGGGTGACGAGCGCGAAGTCGACCGCAGCGGCTACGGCATCTACGACGATGGATTCTGCGGTGAGGGGATGGGGAAAACGAGCGGGGCCTCACATCGGTGTTGTAGGGGTCGGCAGCGGGCTCGGGGAGGGTCGAGGTGGCCGGAGACAACGACGAGGGCAGCGGCGTTCGAGAAGGGAGACGAGGTGGGGAGGCGTCGATCCGCTTGATGCGCCGACTCCGAGCTCCATCCGGGGCTTGTAGCCGACGTGGAGGAGGCCGGTGGAGCCGTTGGACGCGTCGGCGTGGTGAGGGAGGGGTCGAGGCCGCGGCAACGGCGCCGACGGTGCTCCGACAGAGAGAACCGAGAGGGAGAGAGCCGAGCGAGGGGGGCAAATATCTGGGGCTGACGAGGACAAGGCCGAGGGGGAGACTTATCCCCTCGGCGGCGTGGGTGGTTCGAGTGAGCCGGCCTGGCCGACCAGCTGGATGTCCAGCTGGGCCACGAGGCCCACTAGGGGGTGGCCTTTTCTTTCTTTTTTTTGATTTGCCTTTGTTTCCTATTTAAAAGAGCTACTGAATTATTTTTGTTAAATGTGGCACTTTGCACGAAAATAGATAGGAAGAAAGTGAAGTTGCATAAAAAGTTTGGGGTCAGAAGGAGTTGGCTAACCATTTTTAGAAATTGGAAAGGCCAATTTAATTATTGTTGGACCACAAGATAAAATCCTAGGGACATTTTGGTAACTCAAATGAGGTTGGTTCCAACATGAAAAATATCTAGGGATTATTTGCCACACTTTGAACATTTTAGTTTTCATGTTTGGCAATTTGAATTTTGGACTTTGATTTGAATTTGAAATTTGAACCGGTTTCGAACCAACGTGAGTTTAACAAGAGTAATCATGATGATGTGGCATCATTAGGAGGGAATTACTGTAGCTTAATTATCCGGGCGTCGCACGTACCAAATAAGCCAACGCCACCACACTATTTGAAAAAAATAGTGGTGGCGTTAGTTGTAAATGGCGCGCCACCAACGTAAGTTGTGGCTAGCACGATTTCCACTAGTGTGTCAGGCTAGCACTTGTAAGTCCTCTGAAGTTAATATTGGGCCAGTCGATTTTCACCCGAAGGAACAGCCTCCGGCTCGCCGGAGAAGCCCTCTGGGTCTATCTTAGGATGGCAGGCTACCAGATGTCTATCTTAGGATGGCAAGCAACCTTGGTATCTATCTTTGGTGTGTTAGGGAGTGCAGGTTCGCCGGAAAAAAAAGTTCATCGTCATGGTTAGAGGGATGGCACGGGGCGGAAGCAACTCGATGGTGGGCAGCGGTTGAGGGGAGGGCGGGGCGGCAAGGCTGGCGCGGGACCGCTGCCGACCGGCAGCGGCGTCATCCGGTGGTATGTGGGGCGGTTTCAGAGAAGAAAATGAACAGGTGGTTGGGTTGGAGGTTGAAGAAAGCGATTTGTGCATCTGATGGCTTAAAACAAAAGCTTGCGGGGCATGGTTAATTGGTTGCTAGCTACACGTAGCTAGCTACTGGTAGTATCAAAAAATGTCTTATATTAAGTTAAGGAGGAATTATGTTTTCCTTCTCTCCACTTGCTCTGTCCTTTCTCGCCCAAAAAACAAAAACAAAAAAACTAGTTATTCTCTCAATATGAATGCATTTTGATTGATTAATCGTTTCAGAGGGCGTCCCCAAGCTAGCTTAGCTTAGCTTAGTTAGTATGCCCGATCGATCTTTAGATAATTTTAAAAAATTAGTTAGCATTCTGCACTTGCCTTAATTGGGTCACCATGCATGCGTCAAGTGAGTACACATTACTGACACGTCATTGCTGGAAACCAAGCACTGAGGTAGTCCAGTGCTCGATTATCAGCACGTAATGATCAATCTTTCCAAATTAACGTGCACACACGTATATGTACACAAATATACATTTGAGTCTCTGCTTTGCACCAAGGTCGATCATACTTACGTGTTAAGAACCAATGCATCTAATAGTTGGTTAGCACAGGAGAGGAGATGCATGAACTTGACTAGCTTATGTATTTTTAAACAAAATGCACGTACGCATGGAAATTATTAAGTTTGGGTGTCCAGAGATGAATTTTGTTTCATTTTCTTCCTTTGATGTTGGTTTGTTTTTCTAGAGTAAATAAATTAATAGCATGCATTTACTGTACAAACAAATCCATCACAAACAACCACACTTTTTGTTGCAAACATCACCAAGACAAATAGCTCAACAATGGATACATGACAGATCTGATCACACACACAAACAACACTGATACACATCACTGATCACAAGCTACTACGGACTGCTGGCCTAGCTTCTAGCTAGCTAGGGGGTCGCATGCATGCTTACTTTATTGGGCCAATGATGCTCAGAAGCTAGCTAGGACATAGCTAGCTAATTGGCCGACTGCTGAAGAATCCATCATATCCTGCTGCAAGCTCCTCTACGCACTCGTACAATATGCCCGCGGTACTTGTACGAACTACTGCTACTACTACTACAATACTACTACTAGAGATACAAACGGATGGCTCTCAAACGGCGGCAGCAGGCAGACAGGTATGATGGATGGATGCACTACTCACCATCACGGAGGCCCAGATAATGTGGGACCCCTGTCTGGGGAAGCCAGGCGCCTCCCTGGATGAACCTCCCCGGCGCATACAGCCTAGCCTGTGCCTCGTTGAGGCGATGAAACCCATGCCAGTCGACGCGGTGGTCGACATTGGCGCCGGCGCCGTGGTTCGCGAACTCACCAAAGAAAAGGTGGCCCTCGTGGCCAGGAGTGACGCCACCTTTGACGCGTTCCTTGGGGTTGGTCTTGTTCCAAGCCACCCATCCGTCCGCGTGGATGATGTCGTCGATGGTGCATAACATGTACACCACGGTTGCGTGGTCCTTCCAAGGACGGCCCAGGTAGGTCTCCCCTGGCGCCGTGGTGATGCTGCAGTTCTGCAGCACGAACCCAGAACCACCGAGATGTGCTCCGCGGCCTTGAGCGGTGATGACGTCGTGTTTGCCGTCGGCCGGCCGGCGTGCCAAGACGATGCAGTCCTGAAACACGGCTGTCGCATCCCCAAAAATAAAGTCTACGGTGCCTGATATCTCACACTCACGGTAGAATTGCAGGTGCAATTCGGCCATGAGGGTGTCCTGATACCCGTGTATCTGGCACCGGTAGAACACGGCTCGGTCAGCCTGGACCCGGAGAGCCACGGCCTGGTTGATGCCTGGCCCGCCCGCCGTGTTTTGAATCGTCACGTCCCGAGCCATGAAACCATCAGCAAACACACCTGCATGGAATTAATGGAACAATAAAGTAAAAGAGACCGATTAGCTCCCTTAGCAAATTAATCCTACTACTTTTTTTTTCTTCATCTTTTTTGTTTTGGCAAACAGTACTATTTAGTAGTAACAATACAACAACTAGTTTTTTAGCTTATATATATACGGATGAGATGAGATAATACACGACCGACCAAACGGCCCTATGATGCATGTGTCTTCATGCATGCATGATTGCATGTACGTACAGTAGAGATATATTACTGCCCTAGCCTACTAACCAAAGAAAGAGGATACTAGCTAGTGTTGCTAGTCTACTGGTATTAAGGAGGGAAGTATATGCTGCTATGCATGCATGTATTTGCATTGGTCTTAACGGCCGGAAAGGAAAAACGATGGGTCAAAGCGGACTTACTGATTGTGGCCGATTGCATCACGTTGTGCCCTGTCCTATCGGACAGGGCTCCCGTGATGATTGTGCGGCCGACGCCGTCGCCGATAAGCACCACGTTGGTGCGCCTTTGTTGTACGATGATCTGCTCTTCGTAGGTGCCGGCGGTCACATAGATGACGAAGTGCCCTCCTGTCAGATTATTCCAGAGACGCAACGCCTCGCCGACGGAGGTGACGGTGACAGCGCCGCCGCCGGCGCCGCCGCCGCCGATCTTCGACACCCGCACGTCCGGCTTGAGCCGGCGGACGGGGGTGCTGAGGACGCCGCGGTGGTGCTTTCCTCCGCCGAGGACCGCAGGAGCGGCCGTGGTGGTTGCGGCCACCAGGACAAGGAGCAGCTGCAACGTGAACATGGTAGGCGGCGACATGGCTGGCGGCCGCTCTGTCGCCCTTGGTGGTTGTGGCAGTGGGCAGGCAGTGTGTGGATGGAGGTATCGGATGTGCCTCTGTCTTGTGCAGTGAGGTCTTGTGCCACTTGGTTTAAGTAGAGGGAGGGAGGCCACATGCATGCATCTTCCCATAAATGAAGTAGGCAGGCGGCTACCATCCGATCAAGCCCGTCGGCCGAACCTCTTTTACAATGCAATTAGACAGCAGCTAGGTGGCTTTAGCTTTAGCTAGGACGACGTTGCAATGCAAATGTAACCATCCATCGAATTCACGTGCTAGCTAGGCCGGCTCCGCTCGGCCGGACTCCGCGGTAAGCGTACATACTAGCTCCATCACGTATTAACTTGCTCTCATCGTACTCCTACTCCTGCTCTTCAATGTACTCCTAGTAAGCTAGCTTGTTATCCTTCTCTGTTCTGTCAAATCAAGTACAATACAGTACAGTACATACTCCTAGTGAGGAGAGGAGATGGAGGACCATGCATTTGTTACTGCTGCACTATTAATTTAATTGTTGATCAACAAAAGAGGGGGCATGCATGCTGCACTGCACTGCCATCCATCCCCCTTCTCATAAGAAAACGCAATGCAAAAAAAGAATTACTAGTAAGGAGACCCTCATTACTTATGCTGCAGCAAGTAGGATAGGATAAGGGGGACGTACGTGGCGTGCGTACGGGACGCCGTCCCGAGCTGCATGCATGCATATTAAACGCCCAAGCCATGCATGTACGTACTACTATATCATGATCAAGCCCGTTTGCATTGCAATTAGCTAGGTGGTATAGCAGCTAGCTAGGATGCATCGATCGATGGATTTCACGTGCTAGCCCGAGCATGCATGCTCCTTGTCCATCCATCTAGTCTAGTACGTACAGTTGAAAATAAAGACTAATGGCCAATCGAAGCCATGCATGTATCATCCATCCTTCCTTTCTTGTACTTTCTTATTCATGCATATATATATATATATATATATATATATATATATATATATATATGTATATATATATACTTATATACTCCATGCATCAACTACTATGCATGCTTGCTGGTGTGTGTGTGCGTGTGTGTGCGTGTGTGTGTGTGTGTGTGTGAGAGAGAGAGAGAGAGAGAGAGAGAGAGAGAGTATGGATGACGGACCACAGCGAATTTTAATTCTTGTGCGCACAGCATGTATGCATAGTGGAAGTAGTACGTACTAGCTAGCTTCTAGCTAGTGAAATTAGCGCAAGTATAGAAGTATACAAACCAATGCATGCTTGCTACTAGCTACGATCGTCTCTCTAGGACAAGGACCAGGAGTAGTACAGTAGCTAGTAGTACATCATGCTCCGCTCGGTTCGGTTGATATAGATACATCATCTCTCTCTCTATATATATAGTCGTTGGAGCTTCCGTAATTAATTGGATTTCCTTCCCGCGGAAAAGAAGAAGAAGAAGAAGAAGAAAAGATTTTTGTCTTAGATTTATTTAGATACGGATGCATCTGACACTAAAATGTGAGTAGATACATCCATTTATAGACAAATATAACACAAGAATTTTGGAACGGAGGGAGTAGATTGATTTAACGTGCAGTCGTGCATGGTTCCCAATAAACTAACATGCATGCTTCACTGGAGAAGTTGTATGATGCTGACGTAGACCTTGTGCATGCGACCGATTCTACCATACAGACTTATACTCCCTCCGTTCCAAAATAGATGATCCAACTTTATACTAACTTTAGTACAAAGTTAGTACAAAGTCAAGTCATCTATTTTAGAACGGAGGGAGTATATTGCAGATGCTCTCATCCCCCCTACACATAGTTACAAAGACGACGAACAAGAGCTGCTCGATCTACTTACTTACTTACTACACCGGCCGTGCCAGGCAGGCAGCAGGGAGAGAAAAAGGAATGATGGAGTAGGATGGAGGCATCTAGCTAGCTAGCTAATTAATTAACTGGTGTAGGTGAAAGAAAGCACCGCCATCAAATCAAACAAAAACAAGCCCGTGCATGCATGGACCAGAGTTAATTTTAAGAGATTCTTGTGAGCGCGTAGCATGCATGCATATATATTGGAGTATGTTTCCAGTGAAATTAGTGCAAGATTGCATATGTAAATTAAGCACTGCATGCTTGCTATGCTACTATGCTAGTATTACTAGCTAGCTAGCGTCTATACGAATGTTCCAAGGTACTTACTCCTTTAATTTAGGGCAAGGACCAGGACCACTGGAGTGGACCAGTACGTAATATCGAGCTCGCTCGCTGGCTGGATGGATGGATGGTTCCATGGATGGTTCCATGGATGGTCCCGGCCGGCCATCTTCTTTGTCATCCAGTGGTAATGGTATGGTAGAAGCATTAATTTGCTTGCTTGCTCTGCAACCTATTTTATTTTTTATAAGCTGGCTGAGACACTTACTTTGAGACTGCGGAAGTAGGATGCAACGCACCATTGCCCCCGGCCCGCGCGCCCTCCCTTGGGTGTGGGTTCGGGTGTGGTACTGTGGATGGATTTCGTTTTGTTGGTGAATGACTCGAGAGAGATGCTACTCTACTCTACTCTACTCTACTCCAATGGAGTAGTACGTCTCGGTTTGTTGCATTTCGTCTACAAGGATGGATGGGATGGCGTTGGACCATTGCGGGCATTTGCATGCATACGTCAGGACTCATACCGTACCTACCTACTATACATACATACTAGAGTAGTAGTACATACTACCGCCACAGTCACTGCACTGCATGTACACACGCACGCACAGATCGACCCACAGACGGGAAAGCTCAAGCTCAAGGCGCTCGGCTCAATGAATATAATGGATCTCATGGATGTAGTCAGTGACACGGGCGCGTAACCTAACCTACCACGTGTAGTACTACGGACGACGTACCAGTACTACCTAGCTAAAGCATGCAGTTACTACCATGCCATGCTTGCATGCATGCATTGCATTACCTACTTGTAGGAGGGTGTTTGGATACCTTTTAGTCTCATGACTAAAAATAATGAGACTAAAACTTGCTAGCCTCACCCATGCTTGGATTTAAGTACTAAAGAGACTAAAATCAAGTTAATGAGCATTTATTATCCTTCAAACCCTTTAATCCAGAACTCGCCCGTGTTAAAGAAGAGGAGTTAAATGAGGAGAGGGAGGACTAATCCACATTTTAGTTGGGGTACCCCTGATAAAAAAAATTTAGTCTCAAGACTAGTTTTAGCCCCTCTTTAGTCAGGGGTGCTTGGAACTTTAGCCTCTTAAGAAGACTATTTCTAGTCAGACTAAAATAAGTCCCTTGGATCCAAGCACCCTCCTAAAATAGTGACCAAGCATGCATGCACTGCAATTAATCGTATTTAATGCATCAATTTAGTTTGACTAGTTTTGTAAAGTATGAGATACGTGCCTCCACTCGTCATTTGTCTTGATAGATGGGATTTCATATTTGAGCCATGTAAACCAAAAAAGGAGGGAGTACTGTATTACTACTAGGAGTAGTGTAGTGTACTAGTGCTACTACTCCCCCTTACAAAGCTCCCGTACCTGCTTACTAAGTACGTACGTACTAATTCTCTTAATTTATTATTACCAGCCAGCCACCTATCCATCCATGCTTGATGCACAGTACTACTCCCTCTTTAAACTAATACTCCCTCTTTAAACTAATACTCCCTCCGTCGTATTAGTTTACAGAGGGAGTACTATATACGTATGTGTTGATGGCCGATTAACTGAGACCATAACTTATTTTTCAACGAAGAAGAAGAAGAAAAAGAAAAAGTAGAAGAAGCAACGAGTTAACAAGGTAGGTAGGTAGGTAGGTAGGTCGGTGGGTGCATTCCATTAATTTTCTACTGGGTGAGGTGGATCAACTCAACTCTGTTCCATTGCACATTCCATTGAGCAGGCTTCCTTGCTGCCTGCAATGTAAGTAAGCTAGCTCGTGCCGATGCCACAGGTCGATTGATGGATCCATAGACTGGACCCTCAACACCAACGTTCCTCCTCTCTTGTCCGCTTGAGATAGATAGATAGATAGATAGATAGATACAGTAGATAGATACTTCCAGCAGCATGCATGCACACTACTGTACTACTCCTACTTGACTAGACAAATACTACGTGCTAGCTAGCTTCTTCTAATGCATAGATAGATAGGGTCGGACTAAATCAAATCCATGTACGAATGCTGATGCTGATAATATAAACTCAACTACTCTAGTACTCCATCCGTTCCATATTACTTGTCGTCGCTGATTTAGTACAAGTAGCTTCCGTGCATGATTTTTCACTGACTTAATTTCACCTCACCACACCCCCACCGTAAATAAAATAAAAATAATCATTGCCCAGTAGCCTCTCCTCATAATTAATAACCAAAACTGTGTCCACCTCCGTCGACAAGCTACCTACACAACATATTACTTCCGTAACAAATTAATTATTAAATTCCATCATTTTTTTTGAAACTGCTACACACGGAAAACACTGGTCTGAACCGTTATCATTTTCATAACGAAGAATGAGATACAACACAACGGCTTCGGCTACTGGACGTAGCACACAACACACACCACGTAACAAGGGAACGGAGAAAGGGAAGCAAAACAAGCTATGCCTAGCCGTACAAACCTTGAATTTGGCACCCAACAAAACGGGAACAAACCAACAAGAGTCTTAGAATATAAAGTCTATTCGTATTGTAATCTATCTCTATTAGTCTAATCTTGGAGCCTAAGCTTTGTAATCTATATAAACAGCCCTTGAGGCCCCAATCAATACAACAATTACTTCTCGAATATCTCAATCTATCATGGTATCTGACGTCTAGGTTTTCCACACCTGGTATGGCTCCGCCACCCGCGCCGCCGCCCCGGTCGATTCGGCCCCTCTTCTCCATGGCCGAGTTCCGCGCCGCCGGCGCCCCATCCCCTACCTCTTCCTCTACAACTACCCAAACACCTCCCCCCCCCCAAACCCGTCATCCACCGCTCCCGCGCCACCAGCTCCGTCGTCATGGCCTCCTCAGGATGATCCTTGGACTGGCCTCGTCCAGGCTTGGTCGATGCCTTGGTCGGCCCCCTAGCCATATGGTGCCCCTCCTGCGTACACGGGCACGTGGAGCCCCGGTCTT